CCTTCCAGCCCAAATGTCTATGAAATCTATGAAATCATATAACAAATAATGACAGGAGATTCATAGAGAAAAATATTTTCTCCAGTTACAACGTTTGAGGGAATGTTTACCTACTGTTCTATAAGGTCACCTTTCAAAAAACAAGACAAGACGTTTTTAATCTAGTTACGATAGCTCAAATAGGCAATACAGCCACTCACATATGGAATATGACAAAAAATGACATATTGAATTTAATATTTATTACTTAACAATAAGGAGATATACAATACTTAGAAGACAAAAATAAACTAAATGTGGTATCCTAATACACTTATATGTTTAATTTGGTTTTAAGAAAAATTCAAGATGCATTTCCTACACAAACAAGTACATACATGCTAGCAAGCCTTGTATATAGCTATACAACTTAGGGCAAAATACTATACATGTGCTTTAGACAACGTTTTTTCCTAAAATACCTAAGATCAAAATCTGCTGAATTGCACACTTGCAAATGTACCCGGTTAGTGCTATTTAACAACTCAGGCAACTGACAGATGTTAAACAAAAGGCACAATGGGATCTAATATGCAACAGGATGGGATCCCACACGTGGAAAGCAGGAGGTGTGATTTTGGGATTGAGCATCAGATCCCATCACATCATATTGCTGGTACAGGGGGAGCCCAGGAAATGATCCCAGCCCCAGTGTCGTACTATGTGCTCCCACAGCTTCCAATCGGTTGATGGAAGTCCCAGCCCTGGGAGCCCATGGTGCGACCATGCAGCTGAGAGCTCTGATTACTGATGATGCTCCCAGCCACAGGGGCACATGGTGTTCCCCACAGTTGGGAGCTCTGGTCACTGATGGGGGTCCCAGACATGGGGGTAGATGGTGCATCCTCACAGCTAACAGCTCTAATCACCTGATGGGGTTCCCAGTCGCAAGGGTGCATGGTGCCAACCCTGCCCCATCCCACCATGACTGGGAGCCATATCAGTAATCAGAGCTCTCAGCCTTGGGGCTGGGCACCTTGCACTCCTAAGGCTGGAAGCTCCACATCTGATCAGGGCTCCCAGTTGGGGGAGTTCACTGTGCTACCCCAGCTGGGAGCTCTGATTGCTGGCCAGTGCTCACAGTCTCTTGGGAGTGTGCTTCAGAGGCTGGGCACACTGGCCACATGTTCAGTGAAAGGAATCATAGGAACCAGCCACAAAGCTTTACACATATTTTGAGTAATAATTTTGTTGCTCATTCATGGCTTTGTGGCTTATTCATGCCATTAATTGAATGAATGTATGGCCAGGTCACTACATAAGGCACAATTAGCCAGTTAATCACATCTTAAGTGTAACATGTCAGAAGCTTAAGTTTTTGAAAGCTTACGAAGGTCCTTTCCCTAACAGGCTGGCCCTTTTAAGTGGCTTTTTAAGACTTTGTGACTTAGAACATTTAAGATCACATTGCTTTCACATATCAATGACTTTTTAACATTATGTCTTTAGATAAATGTGCATTCTATAATTTTTAACCATTTGCTTGATATGCCTTATCTGTATTGTTTAGTCATTTATATTTATTTATATCTTTCCTATACTTTGTTATTGAACATGCTATTAACATTTAAATGTTCTTATGTTGTGTTTTTAATTTTGGTGGAACTGGCTCTTTTAATCTTGCTTGGTTCTCAGAACTCATCTGGAGGTCAACAAGTTCGTCCAATAAAAGATATAAACCTCCCTTCCCACCACCAAGCCTTGCTTCTCACCAAAAAAAAAAAATAAACTCCATCCAGATTATAGGAAAATGGTCCCTTATGCTTTAAATTAGTGGTGTTCAACCTAAGGTCTGTGGGCTGGGTTCAGCCTCCAAAGTGACTGGATCTGACCCATGGCATGGGGGGAGGAGGGAAATTAGCAGCAACTAGTCTGGCACATTTCCTTTCCTGCCTTACATTATGCCACTGATCCCTTCCACAGCCCAGAGGCGAATTGTCTTCCTTCCCCCCTCCCATCCATCTGACATTGGCAGCTACCTCCCTTCCCCACTCGTCTCCTGGAGGGGAGTGGTGGCCCATGGTGCAGCTGTGTTGCAAACACACTGTCTGCTGCTTTAAATGCTTGAGTTCCACTGATTAACATCTTTTCCCATCATTTGCTAGTACAGGAAACAAGCATAAACTGGCTTGGGAAAATACACAGATAAACCGTGTGATAATGTGAGGAGTTACTAAGTTCTTTAGCCAAATAAGGGTCTTAAAAAATGGAAGCAACAGTTACAAAATAATCATATTAAAGTAAGCATTACATTTTAATGTGAAGATTCAATACTCTTCCTGTAACATAATTCAGTATCTGAAACCAAGGGAATACAAGTTCTAATGATAATTTTACTGGTATTTAATATTCTTATTTTTTAAATATAATCTTTGCAATGAATTGTAGTTATTCTTTCCAAAAGGCTTGCTCGGGGGGAAAAATAAATCAGGAATAGAATGTGTTCAGATTCTGGCTTTAGGAAAAATAAGGCAGTTTTAAGGAGTCATAATTAGAGAAGTATCTGGATAAAAAGAGTAACAGTATGTGATAAGAGTGTATGACACAAGACCTGAGGTATTTCAGAGGAGATGGTGATAGACAAGTAGTTTGTAGAGAATAAGGATTTGTAAGATGGATGCTGCCAACTGGGAAACATGCTTGGAAGAAGAACTAATAGCAAGAGAAGTATCAAATCATCACAAGAAAGTCTACTTGGCATGAATTTTAAAACAATTTTTAAAAAGCAACTTCAAAATTGTCCCTGCCAGATTCTGCATGTATAAATTTTGCTTGTGCAAGTTTTATTGTTTTCTTTTTAGTTGCCATTATTTTACAATATCCATATAAATTATGTACATGTGAAATCTGTAATTCTCAAAAAACTATCTGACCTTTACCTTTAGATCTGCATATGAAAGTTAAATGCTTTTGTGCACGCACACTAAACTGAATACACATATATTCAGAAACACAAAAGTTCCCTTATAACACTTAGCTCCACTGACTTCAGTTGGGTCATCTCAAATTTAAGTTGATACAGATAAAATAATCTTGTCCTTCAAGTTGGACACGACAGACAAAAAGAATAAAATGGAGCCATCTTGGATAGTTGCTAGGGAACTAAAATTTTCAAATTCAAACAAGTACAATGACATTTTTTCATGGATTTTCTTTCAAATATATTCTAATTGGAATTTTATTAGATATGCATATGTATAAGTAAATTTAGAAATCTAGAAAGGGGTCTCACATTGAGACCTCTGACTGAAGTGCCTGTGCAGATGAAAAGATTCTGTTATGCTGATCTTGATTTACTGAGGTTAATGGGAGCTTTTCCATGGATTTCAGTGCAAGCAGGTTAAAAGCCATGGTAACACATTTATTTTGAAAAGTTCTTCTCAGTTTTAGCTGAGCCACATAAAAATATACAGGACCAGGCCTGTAGACATATGTTCTATTATTTTTTATCAACTAATATTTCTACCTTTAGTTTATACATGTATCTTATTTTCACATGAAACAGTATGAACAGAAAGTTTTATCGATTTTTTAAAGATTATTATATGTTGATATATTTTACAGTACAAACAATGAAAAGTCAAATACAGAATTAAAATGCCTTAAAAACCCAATATGTTATCTTCCACAATATTACCATATTTATTTTTTATTTTAAATGCCCTTATTTAAATAACAATGATGCCAACTGAACCAAAGGTTAAAGTGTTAATTCATGCATTTCCATCCTTTCAAAATTAATTGGGTGACAAATGATTGCATTACCTAACTCTAATTGCTTAAAAAGGCATGTAATAGATCAGCTGCAAAACCAAAGACATCTTCTTACCCTGGTGCTGTTTGAATTGGTTCAATAACCACTTCTTCTGAAAAACAAATGAAAAACAGCTGTTTGGACGTTTTGGTTCACTTGATATAAATTCTGATTATTAATTCTAAGTTTGTCTTTAACTGGAACATATATTACAAAAGATATAAAAATTATAACTAAAATTTATACTCATCAGTAGCTCAAATGCTTATTGATTTGTACTCACTACTATTAGAAATCAGCTTATAATTTTATTATTAAAATTGTGAGTCATTATTAATAAATCATCATACCTTTTGGACCAAACACATGTAATCTGCCATTTTTTCTATTCTTTTGTTCCTAAGATAAAAGCAGTAGAAATATTAATAAAAAGGAAAAGCACTAATTATTCATGTCCCCATCCTGCATTAGGGAGAATTCCTGCAGTGATGCAAATTCCCAGCAACTTCAATAGAAACCCACAGAAGGATATAGTACTGGAGTTTGAAATTTCTTTATCACAGATATGAAAGTGTAAAATAACGGAAATTAAAGCGTGGTTCGATAAACTAGCTAAATAAGAACAAAACAAATTACTGATGCATAACAGAGGAACAGATATAAGTTCTATTGATTCTTACCTTCATGCCATCTGTCCTTTCTATACAATTGGGCCTAGTAGAAAATAAAGACATTTGTGTAATAAATATACTCACTGAATATTTGAATTTCACTCTTTATTAAAATGGACATAAGGTTGCAAACAATAAATATTATTTTTTAAAATCTAGAACACACCACACTTTCATACAAACTGAAATGCCTAAAAATAATAATCTACATTCTAGATTGCTGTAAGGAAGCTATTTTATAATTGTGATTATTATTAGATTATATCTAATGATTTAATAATAATCAGGCTTAACTGAGACCCTGTGGCTCAAACTTCAAGGAGGGCGGGGGGAGAGGGATCTGGTGGTAGGGATTTACTACACGCCACCACATCAGGAGGAAGAGCTGGATCTGGAATTTTCCAGGCAGCTGCGGGAGGCTGTGCGTGCAAAGGATGTTGTGGTCATGGGGGATATGAATTACCCTGACAGCAACTGGGAGGAGCAGTCGGCCAGGTCTAGCCACTCACGAAGGTTCCTGATGTGCATACAGGACCTACACTTCGTGCAGGAGGTACTTGTCCCCACTAGGGGAAACGGCATACTGGATCTGGTGTTAGCCTCTGGGGTGACCAGGTGGGGGAGGTGCTAGTACAAGGGAGGCTAGGGGACAGTGGTCATGAAATGATCCAGTTTGCTATTCAGAGAAAGGTGGGGAGGGTAACTAGCACAGCGCAAATGCTTGACTTTAGGAAGGCCAACTTCGATGTGCTCAGGGCAGT